AGGCCTGATCCGTGTCTTCCCACAGACACTGCAGGACATGGACCATAAAACCCCGGTCACAAAGCACGGTCAGGATGAGGCCAAAACAATACAACAACCAGGAAGCCATTCACTTGTCATTGGACCATGAGCCGGGGAGACCGGGAGATGGCCCTGGACGCGGGACTGCGTTTGGGGACGGATCAAGAGAGATACAGCACATTGAGAATATCGTCTTGTTTGAGTTTTAAACCACAGTTAATTGACATAAGATAAGTTAGAGATTCTTCTTCTGATAGAACCAAACTGTTTTCTATTAGATTGTATTGTTTGTGGTTTAACATTTATGGTCATCTGCCCCTTGTGGACCAATTTACCGATTTACACTGAGAATAAATACCTCTGTAGTACCAGCTTTGAACATCTTACTGATACAACAGCCGCCCTCCCGTGTCGTGTGAGATAAGTTTTCCGCGGGACCCACCAGTTGTTCAAAAATGAAATGATCTTTTAATTTTGAAATGTGAGTTGTTCTTCCTTTGAAGAGTGAGTGCTGGTTACTATAGCAACACACCGTTTACCATTAGCAGTTAGCATTTGGTCTTTAACATTGCGTTATTCAAGAGACCGTTTTAGCTCTTAGTAAAAGTGAGTCAAGGAAAAACAAAACTTACACATGACTTACTTTTGACACGACTGGTGGAAACATTTGAGGACATTTATCAGGTTTTTAACTTGTTATAAGTGCTGGTGAATATATTTGACATACAGCAAAAAAAAAGTTGAACGTTCAGTACTGAAGACCAAGTAATAACTGTAATAACCTATGTTTCTATGGCACTTTCAATTGTATTTTAAACGCTTATGAGAAATAGAGATAGCCATACAAGTGATCTGGCCTCGTGTACGTCACAAGGACCCAGATTGTGTATTCCGTCCGATTGTGTATCCGTGTTGTGAGTCTAAAATAATCTTTCGATGTCGCTACAATGTGATGTAACATTGACGATAGAAAGCATAATCTAACTTTGTTCTGTCCGAGAAAGAAAAACTGAAAGAAACCGAGGATAAACTTAAAGGTTCCTCTGATGCGCAAAGATCCCGTCTGAGAGTCTGATTTTTGACACGCCCTTTCTTTGTGGAAAACCAGAACCAGTCCCGGACCAGCACTGTGGGGAAACAGGGCTTTAACTGTCATATGTGTTTATTTTTTTACATTACCATAGATATCCTCTGTCTCAGTGGGCTCTGCATCTGCCTCAGTGCGTGACTCCACTTGACCCGTGCTTAAATGCGCATTAACACTCGCGGCACATGGGAGTGGCGCGTCCCGGCGACCGTAGCGAGCAGCGCGGGGTTCTATAAGGTGACGCGTCCGCACCAATCAGCCGCCAGCGCTCTGAGGGCCTTTGTCCGCCTTCAGCATGCCTGCACTCATTACTGACACGCCCGAGTGCAAGTGGGTCAGCCCCGGCCAGACCCTGGGTTCTGCTCAACGCTGAGAACTGTGTCTTCTCTGTGAAATGTTCTGGTTTGTTTTGAGAGACTATGAGGCTTGAGGTTCTGATCTTAAACGCTACATCCGGAGTTGTTTGTAACCGGGCTGAGACCTGGATCTACAGCGTGAGTCCTGGCTCTACAGCCTCGCTCCTGGATCTACGGCCTCAATCCTGGATCTACAGCCTCAATCCTGGATCTACAGCCTCAATCCTGGCTCTACAGCCTCACTCCTGGATCTACAGCCTCAGTCCTGGATCTACGGCCTCAATCCTGGCTCTACAGCCTCAGTCCTGGATCTACAGCCTCAGTCCTAGATCTACAGCCTCAGTCCTGGATCTTCAGCCTCAGTCCTGGATCTACAGCCTCAGTCCTGGATCTACAGCCTCAGTCCTGGATCTACTGCCTCAGTCCTGGATCTACAGCATCAGTCCTGGATCTACAGCCTCAGTCCTGGATCTACAGCCTCAGTCCTAGATCTACAGCCTCAGTCCTGGATCTACAGCCTCAGTCCTGGATCTACGGCCTCAGTCCTGGATCTACGGCCTCAATCCTGGATCTACAGCCTCAGTCCTGGATGCCTCAGTCCTGGATCTACAGCCTCAGTCCTGGATCTACAGCCTCAGTCCTAGATCTACAGCCTCAGTCCTGGATCTACAGCCTCAGTCCTGGATCTACGGCCTCAGTCCTGGATCTACGGCCTCAATCCTGGATCTACAGCCTCAGTCCTGGATCTACAGCCTCAGTCCTAGATCTACAGCCTCAGTCCTGGATCTACAGCCTCAGTCCTGGATCTACGGCCTCAATCCTGGATCTACAGCCTCAGTCCTGGATCTACAGCCTCAGTCCTGGATCTACGGCCTCAATCCTGGATCTACAGCCTCAGTCCTGGATCTACAGCCTCAGTCCTGGATCTACAGCCTCAGTCCTGGATCTACAGCATCAGTCCTGGATCTACAGCCTCAGTCCTGGATCTACAGCATCAGTCCTGGATCTACAGCCTCAGTCCTGGATCTACAGCCTCAGTTCTCGTTGTACAATCTGAGTCCTGAGTCTATAGCTTGTGCACCTGTGTGAGTGGATCCATATGAGGTAATTGGCTCCAGCTAGCTCATATTCATATTGGCGTCTTCTGCAATGGTGACATCAGTGCTGGATCGGTCCACTCCAAGGTAAGTTTTTTTGTATAGCACAGTTCATACACAAGGCAATTCAAAGTGCTGAACAAAACAAGATAGAAACAACACAAGGCATTACAATCTTTTACCTGGATACCTCTGTTTTTACCTGGATTTGAATCTTGTCAGAGAATAAACTTGTCTCTCATTTTCAAGAAGACTCTTCTGGTTTTAGCTGCATAAATCTGAAATACTGGCTCCACATGTTTAGTCCTGACTCTGGGCACCGACAGGAGGCCAGTCCCTGTCCCTGAGAATCTTCTTGCTCTGAATGAGAAATGCGAGGTTAAAGACTTTAGTCAGAAATATGAAAATCTATTACAAGTAAAAAGTCACTCCACAAGAAGAGCCCAGACTCTGAACAAACACAGGAAGTGAAAGTGAGCGATCAGCTGAGCGCGCACTGGGGACGTCCCGCCATTGTCCCTGTGCAACACACGCACACACACTGGTCACACGTGTGAAACATGGCGCCCCTCTCCTCCCCCCCTCCCCTCTCCGTGTGGGACAGCGTTTCTGGGAATTGTCTGCGTCTGAATGGGACTTCTGCTGCCCATGTGCGGGCTTTGTTTGGGACGCTCGTAAAGACTCGAGATTATACGACCACTTTCAACACTTCAGATGCACCTGAGATACGGCGGGTCAATGTGGTGTGACCTCCTGCTGGGACTCTGAGGAGCACAGGGACTGGCCTCCTGCTGGGACTCTGAGGAGCACAGGGACTGGCCTGCTGTGACTCTGAGGAGCACAGGGACTGGCCTCCTGCTGGGACTCTGAGGAGCACAGGGACTGGCCTGCTGTGACTCTGAGGAGCACAGGGACTGGCCTCCTGCTGGGACTCTGAGGAGCACAGGGACTGGCCTGCTGTGACTCTGAGGAGCACAGGGACTGGCCTCCTGCTGGGACTCTGAGGAGCACAGGGACTGGCCTCCTGCTGGGACTCTGAGGAGCACAGGGACTGGCCTGCTGTGACTCTGAGGAGCACAGGGACTGGCCTCCTGCTGGGACTCTGAGGAGCACAGGGACTGGCCTGCTGTGACTCTGAGGAGCACAGGGACTGGCCTCCTGCTGGGACTCTGAGGAGCACAGGGACTGGCCTGCTGTGACTCTGAGGAGCACAGGGACTGGCCTCCTGCTGGGACTCTGAGGAGCACAGGGACTGGCCTCCTGCTGGGACTCTGAGGAGCACAGGGACTGGCCTCCTGCTTGGACTCTGAGGAGCACAGGGACTATCAGACAAACATATTTATCTTCCAAACAGTCTTTGAAGCTCAGTATTGAATATGCGCTGCGCTCTCTGCTGCCCCCTGCTGCCTCCTGCTGGACTTCCACCAACACACGCCGCTAATGCCACCGCAGAATGTGTACGCGACTGCTCTGCTCAAGCATTCACACGAGGAAACATAAAAGCATTTAAATCCGGTGCTCTCTAACTCACTCCTCCCTCCTCCTCCCCCTAACTCCCTACCTTACTCCCCCCCTCCCTCACCCCTACCGCGTCTTTGCATTTCTGGAATATTTAGCTCGACCACAGGATTCTTTCCCAAACGCTGTGTGTGGATGCTGTCCCGGGACGACTCCACACTCTCTCCCTCTCGCTGGTCCTTCTCTCTATGGTCTCTCTCTCCGGTCTCTCTCTCTGGTCTCTCCCTCTTGTCTCTCCCTCTGGTCTCTCTCTCTGGTCTCTCTCTGGTCTCTCTCTCTTGTCTCTCTCCCTCCAGTCTCTCTCTCTCTGGTCTCTCTCTCTCTGGTCTCTCTCTCTCTGGTCTCTCTCTCTCTGGTCTAACTCTCTCTGGTCTCTCTCTCTGGTCTCTCCCTCTTGTCTCTCCCTCTGGTCTCTCTCTGGCCTCTCTCTCTGGTCTCTCTCCCTCCAGTCTCTCTCTCTGATCTCTCTCTGGTCTTTCTCGTCTCTCCCTCTTGTCTCTCTCTCTCCTCTCTCTCTCTCCGGTCTCTCTCTCTGGTCTCTCTCTCTGGTCTCTCCCTCTTGTCTCTCCCTCTGGTCTCTCTCTCTGGTCTCTCTCTGGTCTCTCTCTGGTCTCCCTCTGGTCTCTCCCTCTTGTCTCTCCCTCTTGTCTCTCCCTCTGGTCTCTCTCTCTGGTCTCTCTCTCTGGTCTCTCTCTGGTCTCTCTCTGGTCTCCCTCTTGTCTCTCCCTCTTGTCTCTCCCTCTTGTCTCTCCCTCTTGTCTCTCCCTCTGGTCTCTCTCTCTGGTCTCCCTCTGGTCTCCATCTGCTGCTTAAAATTCTGACAAATTGATTTTTCCCGAGCCGAGCTAAAACCACAAGCCGATTGGAACATGTGGAAATCCTGTTTTCTTTTTTTTTCTTTTTTTTAAAGCGGCATAGACGATGATTCAGTCAATTTGTTTTCAATCATCCGAATCCTGTGGGAGCCGAGCTGCGTGGAGGCTGTTTCAGGTATAGCACTGGTTCTGGACAAAGTAGAGTATATAAAACCTGTCTCCACATAGACTAGAGGCCACCCGCGGTACTGCAGCTTAAATCTACACGGACTAAAAGGCCGTTTTACCCACAGACCTCAGTGTTCACTTAAACGGCTCGTCCTCAGCTGACAGGGGACAAGTCTACTTTCTCTTGTCCCCCTCTGGTCTCTCTTTATTCACTCTCTGGTCGCTTTCTGGTCTCTCTGTTTTCTCCCTTTGGTCTCTCTTTTGTCGCTCTCTGGTCTCTCTCTTTTTTCCTTCTGGTCTTAAGTCTTTCTTGTCTCCCCCTGGTCTCCCTATTATTTCTCTCTGGCTCTCTGGTCTCTATCTGATCTCCCTGCGGGTCTCTCAGACTCTCTCTTTTCTCCATGGTTTCCCTCTGGTCTCTCCCTGGTCTCTCTCTGGTCTCCCTCTTGTCTCTCTCTAAATGCTACTTTTGAGCCTTTTTCATATTTGTAATATAAACAGTGGTTTTATTAAAGCAAGTCTATCTATCTATCTCAAGTCTATCTATCTCTATCGCTTTATCAGGTGCCTCCAATCAAAGGTTCCTCAGCTCTGGGTGCGTCCATCATGTTGTTTTGTATTATGTATGCTGAATATATTGTTGTGATTGACAGTAATGATGATGATGACAGTGTTAGAGACACAGTGCATCAGCGACAGTAGAATGTGGCTCTTCAGGATTACCTCGTGCTGCATCAGACTATGCTGCGCTGCCCTCTGGTGGACACTTGCTGGAAATACTCCTGGAGGAAAATTAACATAATGGTCAACACACAAAAATCCAGCACTCTGGTCTCTCTATCTTGTTTCTCTCTGGTCTCTCTATTGTCGCCTCTGGTCTCTTTCTGATCTCTTGTCTCTCTTGTCTCACTCTGTGCCTCGGCAGGTTCTCCTCGGCTTCTCTGGTAAATTTTTATCAAGAAAATAAGAGCTAACCCTTAGCTGCTGGCTGGTTACAGGCAACTCTGTAAGGCGGGAAAATGCACTGATGACCTTGTAAGCAGTTGCGTGATGGGTAACATGGGTTCAAGGACCACTAGAAAATCTGAATTATAATATCCAAAACTGTTCATTAGAGTTGGTGGAGTTTCTTCTGATTTACTGGGTTGTTTTGAACACACCATAGACTAAATAATAAAACAATATATTTACACTTTTTTTTTTTTTTTATATATTCATTTTGACTGAGGGGGCGGGACTGTCTGGGCGAGGGGGCGACGCCCCCTCACGCCCCCTCTTGACACCGGGACTGCTCTGGTCTCTTGTCACCCTCTGGTCTCTCATCTGTTTTGTCTGGTCTCTCTCTCAGGTCTCTTGTCTCCCTCTGGTCTTGCTCTCTTGTCTGTCTCTTGCCTCTCTCTGGGTTTTATCTGGTCTCCCTCTGACCTCTTCCTGGTCTCTTCTTCTGCTCTCTCTTTGGTCTCTTTCTGGTCTCTTCCTGGTCTCTCTCTGGTCTCTCTCAAGTCTTTCTCTGGTTAACACAAATAACAGAATGATTAGACCAAAACCCAGCTTTATCTATTGTATTTCAAAACAAATGCATCGTTCTGAAGAATAGATGATAATAAACATGGATTTATAGATATTTTACTCTGCCATAATACAACGATATTATCTTGAGTATAAAAATGGTAAAACCTTCATTTAATCAAGAAAAAAATCCCAGTGAGATAAAACGAAAAAAAAACTTTTTCAAGGGAGTCCTAGCAAAGTTACACGTTGAACAGAACACATTTACATCACACACATGGACAAATAAATACATAAATGACAGACTGTGACTTCACAATGGGCAGATACGCTTTTCAAATGACTTTATTGATATTTCACAGAAAATGTACAAGAAAAAAACATCCACACACTTAACAATTTCTATGTGCATATCTTTGAATAACTAATATAATGCTTCTTATATTGGCAAATTTAGAGATTTTATACTTTTTTAATATGTTAAAGATAGATTTTCTGCCTGGTTCAACAACGCGGTGAGCGCGTAAGCGCAACGTGGTCCCAGGACCACGGACGCGCACAGGACTTGTCTCTGCTGTGAGCGTGTCTGCAACCTGTGCAAGCAATAAATTCACCGCTGCAAGAATCAGAGCTGGATTATAGGAGCTTCAGGAAGTGTCCGTGTCTCCCCCGTGTCTCGTCCATTATTATAGATCCATGGTCTCGTTTCGAAGGGAAACTAATGTCGCTAAATTAAAGCGACTTTAGTTGCTTTAATTTACATTTACCCTGCACTAACAGTTCATGTTGGCTGTACCCAAAAGTAAAATGTTGTGAACAAATCAGATTTAATGAATGGCTGACATTATGCATGACAGACTTTGTATTCAAATGTTCCATTCTCATCCCTGTAACAAACAACAACACACGGAGACACGCACGTGTGTTTTATGACATCTGTCAAAAAAAAACTAAACACAAGGGCAATTTCACATATTTCCATTGGTTTCAATGAGAGCAGTCAAAATGACGGCTCTGGGAGTTGTCGTAGATTTACAATTGCGGGAGTCCTTGTGTTAAAAGTGTAAACTGTCTCACGGAAGGTGTGATTTGTTTTTTGTGGTGTCAATGACAGTTATCGCTCTCATCCGTCACATGACATTAGAACTGCATGTCCCATGAGGCCGTGCGCGCCCTAGCCTCATCTCACCACAAAAAAACCCCGGAGCGTGCGTCAGCATCAGCCCCAACACACTCACTCAGACCTGGTCTAAAACAGCCGAGGCAGAGCGCTCTCTTCATATCCAATGGAGCCGGCGCACCAGGAGGATCCCCAGCTCTGCCAGTCGACATGGCCCAGGACGCGCACGTGGAGCGGATCGCCAAACAGCTGGACAAGATGGTGCACAAGAAGAGCACGGTGAGAGCATGGATGTAGGTGAGAGACAGAGGCAGAGACAGAGACGGAGACAGAGACGGAGACAGAGGAGACCCCCCATGGCGCACGTGGCCCCGGGACAGAGCTCAGGAGGCGGCCTGGGATGGGGCCAGTGCCCGGGGGCTGGAGGACTGTTCTGGAACTGTGGCAAACAATCTGCACGAGGCGGAGAAATGCACAGATAAGCGAAAAGTAAAAACATGAACGAGTTTGGTTTGTCTTTGCTTTCTTTTTGTTCTTTTTAGCGCAGGGTTAATTTGACGCGCACCTTGAGTTGATTAGTCGTTATTGTTGCGTCAGTGTGTTGTGTGGAAGTAATATCAATGCTTTAAACTACAGTCATTTTGACTGCTTTTAAGTTTGGAGGTGTAGTTATTCTTACTGTATATGTGGTCTTCATAACTTTGACTTGTGAATGTGTTTTTTTTTTTTTTTTAAATCCCTTTATTTTTTGTAATACAATTTCTTCTATTAACTCCAAGAGCAGTCATTCATAGATGTGGAGATTCTGTACGATTTGCAACCAACATTCTATTGCAGTTATTATTCTTTCACTCTGTTGGGGCACACTGACAGAATCGGGGCAACCAGTGTGTGCCATCTGCCCCTCCACCACCCATTCACAGACTCATTCTAATGTGGGTGTGAAGGACACTTTGGCACCTGGTGTTGCCAGAGATCTCCCATCTCCATACTAACCAGGCCCCGTCCTGCTTAGCTTCAGAGGTCTGGCTTTCACCTGCAGGTGTTGCCACATAGTTCCAGAAGAGGCTTAGTGTAGAGCTGTAGAACATTGTTTGTCGCTGCAGTGTTTAAAATTGTGTGTGTTTTCAGGATGGAGCTCTGGATTTACTGCAAGAACTGAAAAACACAAAGATGTCTCTGGAGACGCTGCAGGTAACGGTCCTACTGCAGGATCAGGACCAGCTGCACTGCAGTAGATCCAGAAACTGTAGAAGTGGTAGATACACAGCTGGACTCAGGGCTGGTGCAGCTCAAAAAGAGCAGGAAGAACTTGTGTGATCAAATTAAATTATTAAATGTTTCTTGTCAACATGATGAGAAAAGCAACAAAACATTTCTGAAGTCCGAGTCGGCTTTGGATTTGCCAAAGAACTAAAACACTGAGATTTATTCTTCTATTGCAGCCATTCCCAAACTCAGTAACACCGAGGCCCCCTTAAAAATCTGACGGGTCTGCGTGGCCCCCCAAAATAATAACCAAGAAGACAACATTAAGAATAGGCTCTTCTGGTTATTTTATTTTGGGGAAATAGCCTCTGCTACAAACATTGTAATACAAAAATGATTACAGTGGATTATTAAAGTCAAATAATGAACACAAATATTTTAATATTACAAACAAAACATTATACATTTAACATTAAATCATTATATTATTATTATTATTTTTTTTTATGACCTCCCGCGGCCCCCCTGCAGTACCCTCGCGGCCCACCAGGGGGCCGCGGACCCCACTTTGGGAGACACTGTTCTATTGGTCTAAAAATCTGCTCTGATGCATCTGAAACACAGCTGTGTCTGTGGTGGAAACATCTCTGCAGATCTCCCCACGTCACGTTATATGTGGCTAACAGCTAGCCCTACACACGGATCTCACGTGCGCTCTTGTGTGCGCTTTCTCTTGTGCACTCTCTCTGACGATTGCTTTATCTTGTGCTCTCTCCTGCAGTCGACCCGTGTGGGGATGTCTGTGAACGCAGTGCGGAAGCTGAGCTCTGATGAAGAAGTCCAAACTTTAGCCAAAGTCCTGATCAAGTCCTGGAAGAAACTGATCGGTATGGGCACCTGATGACGTGGCACCTGATGACGTAGCACCTGATTGTTTGGCACCTGATGACGTGGCACCTGATGACGTAGCACCTGATTGTTTGGCACCTGATGATGTAGCACCTGATGGCTCTCCGCCCCTCCTATATGATTCTCAAGTGTGGCCTCTGTTTCACATATTTGTGACTCCAATCTTTTATCCTTCTTTAAATCTGCTTTGTCTCAATTATAAACCGTTATTTCTACACTTTTAGTGTAGCCATAATGTCATGATGAAGATAACCAGTGCTTCTACTTGCTGCAGATGGAGCAGAGAAAAAGTGTGAGGAGAAGGAGGAGCCAGTGAGGTCTTCGTCTACGTCCAAAGACACAGGACACGAGGAGAGGTTTGGACTCTCACACATTCTGCAGATGGAGAGGAAGGAATTTATTTGTATCAATGGTTTTACAATTAGAACAAATCTGTGTCCTTTTTCTCTTCTTTCTTTTCCTGATCACATTGACGGTGTAGTACTCCATATCACTTCCTCTCGACATTGACAATCCCTCTTCTCTCTCTCCTCATTCTCTCTCATCCCTCTCTTCACATTAACAATGTAGTACTCTTCCTGATGGAATTTCACCATCCACTCTGAGACATTGTGCTCACTCCAGTCTTTGCTGACATTACTGATACCTTACTGAGTCCCCCCCAGAGCCAACAGATCTGTAGATGACACCATAAACCTGGCCCTCTACCTCAGCACCTGGACTCCCTGGGATCCTACACTAGGACCCTGTTCGTGGACTTCAGCTCTGCCTTCAACACGATCCTGCCATCCCTGCTCCAGGACAAGCTCTCCCAGCTCAACGTGCCCAATTCCACCTGCAGGTGGATCACTGACTTCCTGACAGACAGGAAGCAGCGAGTGCGTCTGGGGAAGAATGTCTCGGACTCTCGGATTATAAATACAGGAGGCCCACAGGGCTGTGTTCTTCCTCCCCTGCTCTTCTCCCTGTACACCAACCACTGCATCTCCAGCCACGACTACGTGAAGCTCACCACGCTCCTTGGACTCTAACAACAATGAGTCCGCCTTCATCACCCAGGACCTCAAGTGGGAGCCGACCATCAGCTCCCTCAAGAAGGCCCAGCAGAGGATGTACTTCCTGCAGCAGCTCAGGAAAGCCAAGCTGCCTGCACAGATGTTTGTGCAGTTCTACACGGCCATCATCGAGTCCATCCTCACCTCCTCCATCACCGTGTGGTTCGCTGGAGCCACAGTCAGGGACAAACAGAGACTACAGTGCATTGTGCGCTCTGCAGAGGAAGTGATCGGCCGCAGCCTTCCATCGCTGCAGGACCTGTACGTCGCCCGAGCTCGAGGCCGGGCTGGTCGTATCAAAGCCGACCCCTCTCACCCTGCACATGGACTTAAGTCACTTTACTGCTGTCACCTTACTTCACTGCTTACAGCATATTGTGTGCACTTGTACTGTATATAGTAATGATTTTAATTTTTTAGTGAGTTGATCTTTTTTCTAGGATCTTCTATGAAGATATTTTTTCGATGTTTCTTACTTTATTCTCTGCTTTTCTTCTTTTGACTTTTGCACGCCAAAGCAATTTTCTAGTCTGACTTCCTGTTGCTTACATGGCAATAAAAATGATTCTGATTCACATTGAGTCTCTCCTGATTCCCCCCCTCTCCAGCAGCTGTAAAGAGACGGACCCCCAGAGCTCCGCCCCCACCTCCAGTATGACCTCGTTCCCCCCAGCTCCCGTCACCACCGACGGCGTCCGCAACAAGTGCCGCGAGCTGCTGGTGGCAGCGCTGCAGACGGACGGTGAGTCTGGAGGGAGACGAGGGAGGTTTATTTGTATAGCACAGTTCATACACTAGGCAAGTGCTTAGTGGAATATGGGAGAATTGTCTTCTTCCGGCTGGATAATATAGACTAGACCGGGGCATGTGTATGAGGCCAAATAGCGTTTAAATGTTTAAAGCAGAGAAAAGTCAAAAATGGTAATATGGCACCTTTTTAAGAAGTATGTGGGTCCTCTGTGATAGCTCTGCTTTGAAGAGTTTAAAAGTGTATGTGTGTGCGTGTGTTGTAGGAGACTTCAGAGCCTCTGGAGTGGACTGTGCTCACTTGGCCGCTCAGATCGAGGATCATATCCTTCACTGTAGATGATAAGTGAGAGTCAGACCTCTGAAGCTAATATGGGGAGGGGCTGATTAGTTCGGTGATGGGAACCTTTGGGAATACCAGGTGCCACAGGCTGTAAAGTGCCGAACTGTTGTGTCGCTTCACTCGGTGTCTACAATGAGTCTGGTGTGAGTTGCTGGAGACAGGCTGTAATCTAGACTTCAGACCTGGACCAGACCTGCTGTAGACGTTCTCTCTCTCCTCTCCTGACCGGCTGCAGACAGAGACCAGACTATAGTCCTGACCTGATCCTCACAGATCTACCAGGAGTTCCACTGCACAGATGTGAAGTACAAGAGCCGCCTGCGCAGCCGCATCTCCAACCTGAAGGACCAGAAGAACCCAGAGCTGCGAAGGAGTGTGCTGCGAGGAGACATCGGGCCTCAGCGCATCGCCAGCATGACGGCAGAGGTCAAGTTTAGTTGTATAGTACAGTTCATACACAAGGAAACTCAAAGTGCCAAACTAAACAATTTTCAGGAAGACTGTTCCAGATTGTTGCTTCATGAGTCTGGAGTTTATTTTTAAATGTAAGTCTATAGGAACCAGAGCAAGGTAGAGCAAAACTTCCCATCCATGAGCACTCCTCTATTGGGCTACATTGAGCTAGCGGGTTAGCATTGTCCATTTGTAACCAGTTTGAGTTTCCTGTTATGCAATCATTGAGGTCCTCCATTATTTTCATCATACACTTAGTAATTTGTAATGAGAGTCCCTGTGATTAAAGTCACCGGTGCCCTCACATGGGTCTGAACGTTGACACGGGTCTAAACAGGAGATGGCGAGTGCGGAGCTGAAGAGGATGAGAGAGACTTTGACCAAAGAGTCGATCCGCGAGCACCAGCTGTCGAGAGTTGGAGGCACAGAGACCGACATGTTCCTGTGCAGCAAGTGCAAGAGCAAGAACTGCACTTACAACCAGGTGAGCCCGCGACCAGGCGAGGTGAGCCCGCGACCAGGCGAGGCGAGCCCGCGACCAGGCGAGGTGAGCCCGCGACCAGGTGAGCCCGCGACCAGGTGAGCCCGCGACCAGGCGAGGTGAGCCCGCGACCAGGCGAGGTGAGCCCGCGACCAGGCGAGGTGAGCCCGCGACCAGGCGAGGTGAGCCCGCGACCAGGCGAGGTGAGCCCGCGACCAGGTGAGCCCGCGACCAGGCGAGGTGAGCCCGCGACCAGGCGAGGTGAGCCCGCGACCAGGCGAGGTGAGCCCGCGACCAGGCGAGGTGAGCCCGCGACCAGGCGAGGTGAGCCCGCGACCAGGCGAGGTGAGCCCGCGACCAGGCGAGGTGAGCCCGCGACCAGGCGAGGTGAGCCCGCGACCAGGCGAGGTGAGCCCGCGACCAGGCGAGGTGAGCCCGCGACCAGGCGAGGTGAGCCCGCGACCAGGCGAGGTGAGCCCGCGACCAGGCGAGGTGAGCCCGCGACCAGGCGAGGGAGCCCGCGACCAGGCGAGGTGAGCCCGCGACCAGGCGAGGTGAGCCCCGCCCGGACCAGGCGAGGTGAGCCCGCGACCAGGCGAGGTGAGCCCGCGACCAGGCGAGGTGAGCCCGCGACCAGGCGAGGTGAGCCCGCGACCAGGCGAGGTGAGCCCGCGACCAGGCGAGGTGAGCCCGCGACCAGGCGAGGTGAGCCCGCGACCAGGCGAGGTGAGCCCGCGACCAGGCGAGGTGAGCCCGCGACCAGGCGAGGTGAGCCCGCGACCAGGCGAGGTGAGCCCGCGACCAGGCGAGGTGAGCCCGACCAGCGACCAGGCGAGGTGAGCCCGCGACCAGGCGAGGTGAGCCCGCGACCAGGCGAGGTGAGCCCGCGACCAGGCGAGGTGAGCCCGCGACCAGGCGAGGTGAGCCCGCGACCAGGCGAGGTGAGCCCGCGACCAGGCGAGGCGACCGGACCCGCGGACCAGGCGAGGCGAGCCCGCGACCAGGCGAGGCGAGCCCGCGACCAGGCGAGGCGAGCCCGCGACCAGGCGAGGCGAGCCCGCGACCAGGCGAGGCGAGCCCGCGACCAGGCGAGGCGAGCCCGCGACCAGGCGAGGCGAGCCCGCGACCAGGCGAGGCGAGCCCGCGACCAGGCGAGGCGAGCCCGCGACCAGGCGAGGCGAGCCCGCGACCAGGCGAGAGCAGTCAATTCTATTCTATTCAATGTATTTAGTCCTAAATCACAACTGCAGTAACAGTAGTAAGAAGCAAAGAGGGGTCCGCTCCCACAGACGGGCTGTAAATCCAGGACTGAGGCTGGACCCACACACGCACTTCCATTTTGTCTGAGCTTCTAGAAAACAAGTCTATTTTCAAGTGAACGACCTGCAGTTCTGAGACCGACTGCTCTGTGTCCAGGTGCAGATCCGCAGCGCTGACGAACCCATGACCACGTTTGTCGTCTGCAACAACTGTGGAAACAGATGGAAGGTAAACACGCTCTCACAATCACTCTATCACACTCCCTCACTTTTTTGCTCCCTACATCGCTCTCCCTCTCTCTCTCTCCCCCTCTCACCCCCTCTCACTCTGAGATGAGGGTCGTGACTTTGAAACCATAACAGTGGTCTTATTGCAGAGGTGTCAAAGGGGCTGCAGGTTTTCGACAAAGCAAGCTCCTGCCATCAAGTTAATCCAGTCTCAGCCTGAAGACCTGAGGAAATGGGTGGAGTCTCATGTGCTCCTGCTTGGTTGGAATAAAAACCTGCAGCCACACAGGCCCTTTGACACCTTCTCTACAGTAAAAGTTTCTTGCTAAAGTTTTGTCCCAGCTCTAGTTTGGTCCCTGTCTGAAAAAGTTGATTGAACGATGTGACAAAGTGGCTGACTGAAGGTGGTCTTTCAGTCTGTTGTGACATTAGGAAATGGTTTTACCTGTAAATGTAAAAACCAGTTTAATCAGACTTGATCCCCTCCGCTCCCAGGGCCTGTGCAGTGTAATGCAGTAACACACAGTGGCCACAGGATGGAGACAGAGACCACACTTTCCATCAACAATTTACTTTTTGCTCATACTAAAAAAGATTGACTTTATCACAAGATTAATATTCATCCAGAACAGAAATCATAAAACAGTTGTCAGAGCAATGGAGAATCCCGTAGATCCAGGAGCAGGACTCCAGGAGCAGGACTGGGGACCGTAGGTCCAGGAGCAGGACTCCAGGAGCAGGAATGGGGACCGTAGATCCAGGAGCAAAGGAGTAAATGTATTTGTGAACAGCCCTAGATCATTACAGCGGTTATCTCTTCAGACTTTAAAAAGTTGTTGTTCTAATCTCTTGTTGGTGAATCCTCAAACAGTTCAAACACAGGAAATACAATAATAACAAAGAAGCCGTTGGTCCAAAGGGAGCGGGTACCACTGTCCAGAAATGCCTTGTTCTTTTTGTTTTAAAATGTGTGTGTGTGTGTGTCTCTCTCCTGTCGCTCTTGTGTGAGTGTGTCTCGTTCTCGTGTTTGTGTGTGTGTGTGTGTCTTTCTCGCTCCTGTGTGTATTAACCCACAACACTGGTCTGTTTTGCAGTTCTGTTAAAGTCTCAGTACTTTTCCACTGGAGACGAAGAGAACTGACGAAGAAGAAAACGTTTGAGTTTCTTTTGGAATAATGTAATTTTTCTTTGATTTGAGAATAACTTATGTAGATGTAATATATGACGATGACAGTTCTAGCGTGTTTTTTTTGTATGAAGCATTAGTTTTGGAGATAGTCACACTGAGATTGTGCTGAGGCCCTTGATGGTTTTTGCATTTTCTATTAAACTTTTGCTCGGAGCAAAACCTCAATGGTGTATTTTGGTTCTGACTCGACACAAATGTTTGTGATCTGCAGCCGACGCAGAGAGCTGATCCTGGATCTGTTTGTTTTGGAAACAAGAGGTGAACTGTTCACGGTCATCGGGGCTGAAACCAGAGATACTACTACTACTGCAGTACTGCTGCTACTACTACTGTTGCTGCTTCTGAAACGTGATTAAAAGTAGAAGAAAATATCCTAAATTAGCATTTGAAAGGGTCTAAGTTAGGAAAAGTCAAAATTCAACTCTAAAAAAATGTAGGGTATATTTAATTTTTTTTAACCAATGTGGCAAAAAAAATTGCCCTGAGATTACAAGTGGTAAAAACTTTAGATGTTTCTGAGACAAAAACAAGTTCAGATATTGTAAAATAGTGACATTAATGCTTGACTTCACGTCACATTAAACATTTTGGTCGTTTAGTGCTTTTTCTGTGATCCTTGTTCCTAAATTGATATTTTCTTATTAAATCCAGATACAGACCTATTAAGGATTAAGAATGAAACTGGGGAAAATGCAAGCTCGCCGTAGCAACCATGTTAGCTTTGGGATGTAATCGGAACAGATTTGCTAACGCCATCCTAACAAATGCCCAAATAAGGAAATTGGCTCCAGCTCGTTAATGTTCATATCAGCTTCATCCTCATTAAGGCTAACACTGATGGCCTACTCGTGATTTAGTCTGATCTGCATTCAAAAATTGCCCTTTGTAAATCAATGTTAAAGACTAACAATGCTGTGATAGTTTATACAGAGAATATGATGGAAAAGTCTACAGTAAAATAATTTATCAATATACTATGAAAGAACAGTCCTATTGCATGTTCAAAGTTTTTTAATATGTACAGTTAAAATCACAGTTTTAACAAAATATAAAATAAATAACATGAACAATACTAAGATAAATGCATTCAGAGTCACCGGTCTCACAGTCGAGACCTTTTTCATATATCTAACTTTTTCTTCTGTATATTTCGGGTTGCTTTGTCTGCGAAAAGACTACATTTCCCATTATCCCCTCTTCTCTTACACAACCTGAAAGAGCAGACGGGACGCAGGTGGAGAGTTTGAAATGTACAAATGAAATGTTACATTTTGGGGACTTTTCTGGTTTAAACAAAGGACATTTAATTTTACACAACCTGGTCTATGTCCAGTCCATGGACAGACTCACTGGGTCCTAATGTCCACATTATTCCCTGATTATGCACTATTAAAGTTCAATTTGTTGCTAATTTTTGTACCATCAGAATATCCAACAGCAAGCCAGTATCTGGAAATTCCTTGGTAACCATGGCTTCCAGCAGTAGAGTAGAACTGCTAGAAATGAGGCTTTAATAATTTGCTTCCATCACTTTTTCACATTTTTATATTTTGGCCTTTGGATCAGGTTTTTCAGACTGAGTGAGGGCGGTCCTCTTTTTCACGGTTCTGAGACCAGAGGGAGAGACAAAATGGAGAGCAGAGAGATTCATATTAGACCAGAGTTAAGTGCTGACAAAGATGCTGGGATTCGGTGACTAAAGCCAAATTTAACAGACTGAAACAGTAGCAGTGAATGAGGTCAGGGATTAGACTGGACATGGGTAGAACCTCCACCATCACCTCCGTCTGCTCGTCACACACTTCTGTTATATACTGTATATCTTTACCATATATATATATACATATATATATATATATATATATATATATATATATATATATATATATATATATATATATATATAAATATATATATATATATATATATATATATATATATATATATATATATATATATATATATATATATATATATATATATATAATGTTTTTTTGCACCTGGGTTTTCCTCCCACTCCCCTTCCTGGACGACCACACGCAGCCCGGCGGAGGCCTAACAGTGGGAGGTCAGAGGCAGAGGCGGTCAGTGGACTTGTGCGTCGGAACGCTTGTGTTACTGGACTCACAGGTCTGTTTGGTCTGTGACAACGCAAACTAACAAATACTCCATTCTGTCTGGACTATAAGCTGCACCACATACATTTGAAAAGAAAGTAAATGTCCACATACAGGCTGCACTTTAATAATGAAGTTATGTATCCAAGCTTTAGCATCCTTTTACTACATTTATAGAGGTGTGTTCAAACCAGCAGAGAGAAGTCGTCGAGTTCAGTAACACAACACGTTTCCCTAAACTCCAGTGATTATTGCAATGTTTTTTCAACCGTTCAAACAAAAATCAGTCTCTACGGTCTCTTGATTCTGACAAAAAAAGTGGGAAATTGAGAGTGGGAGAAAGAAAAAAGTCAAACATAAATAATATTCCGCTGTCACAGAGACAATAGTTAAAAAAAAAAATAGTCCTTGTTTGTGTAAATCTGTAGGCGGTTGAGTCCTGTGAGTCCCAAAGGTTAATATCTCCAGCCAAAACAGAAGAAAAATCCCAAAAATGAAACTTTTTGCTGCTGTTTTTGAGTAAGGGGTAAAAATGAGGACCTTTTCCTCAGTGACCGAGACATGGGAAACGCACAGAATGTTAAATTGAGAGAGTGAGAGACAGACAGACACGGGGGCAGAGCCGGTCACCGTGGAGGGGTCTCGAAGGCGATCAGCGAGCTGGGAATCAACACAGTCTATGGCACAAACGCTGGTTCTGCTTTCTCCCAGTGAAACGCAAAAGGACGGGCTTCCAAACTACAATTAAAATATGTTTTGAGGCAGTGGTTGCACACAAATCAGGAGAAGGGATAATTTATTTATTCCCATGAATCCTGGTCTGGAATTATTTTAGAAAAAGTTGCAAAATAGGGACACACTTTGACACAGCAAAAAAGTGATGCACTTAAGTAAAAAATTGCTCAAATTAGGCAAAATGCATCTTAATTTGAGCACATTCTGACTTCCTAAAAACAAGATTTGTCAATGGGACAAAGCAAAATTTTCTTTTTTTCAAAAGATACAAGAAATGTCTTCCTTGGAATGAGAACAGTTCTTGAAATAAGACTAAATGCTTTGTCCCATTGGCAAATATTGTTTTAACAGTCAGAATGTGCTCAGATTAAGATAAAAACAATCGATTCAAACTTTTATGACCTCATACCTTTGCAATGTATGCCCAGTTGTGTATCGTGAGGCCTCCACTAAAAACCTGTCACAACTGGGAATTTGACGCTAATTGTTCTGTAATATCATGCTGGCAGTATACATTTAAATACGTTTGTCTTTTAGGGCTCAGAAGGTTCTTTTATTCAAGCAAAAAGTGGAAAGAAGCTCGTACCGCCTTATTCTTCACCTTCACCCAAACAATTGAATTCAATTTCAGCACTAAATCACAGCAGCAGTGGTCTTGATGCGCCTCCCAAAGAATCAAATGGATTCTACACTGCACAGGAAGCAAGTGGACTGATTTTAACACAGGAGTTACATGCTCCCTCCTTTTAGTGACTAACATTGCTGCTGTATTTAATTTATTCATTATAGTGATAAATTGCTAAAATTTGGCAAAATAGATCTTAATTTTAGCCCATTATGACTGTTTTAAAACCAGATTTGCCAATAGGACAAAAGCAAAATGATCTTGTTTTTAAAAACTACAACCCATTTCTCTTTTGGAATGAGAAAATAAAGCAACAGTTTTAGAAATAAGACAGCTACATCATTAGCAAATCCTGCTTCAACAGTCAGAATGCACTCAGATTAAGTTAAAAAACACTTGATTCAAGCAATTATTACCTCATATTTTGTCATTTTTTGCAGTGTACTAGCATCTTCACATTTTGATTGTATTAAAAAGAACCTATTAAGTCTGAACCAAAAAGAAAACACAATCATCTTTTTACATTTTAAATACTTCTGTCTTTTTCTTTTGCTTCTGAATCAGTCATTTTACTAAAACTGAAATGCTAGCACCACAATACTGTAAGCTCACTCTACTTCAGTGTAAATACAAAAAGTCACGTGGCATTTAATACATTGTTTTCATTTGACCAGATTTGAAAGGCTTTTTTTACGGCCTCTTGCGATTGGGGAGGTTACTGCTTTTGCTTGGAGTGCACCTCAGAATGATACAAAACGTGTACATTCAAAAAGCTCACGCAATCACATGGGGTCGGCTCTCCTCTCCGCAGATACGACCTGTAACTTGGCCGAGTGAAGTCACATCTAATGTAGACGGGAAATATAATGCCGTACTGCGAAACATTCCAGGGAAATCCACATCGGGAAGCACCCAATGCTCTTAGATACAACTGTGCTTGAGAGTTTACACACCCAGGACCAAAAGTCAAGATGCCACAGTAATCTATTTATCTAATTTTTATTTCATGTTTTTGTTTATTCGGGTAGAAAGGTGTGTAATAATACCCAGCAGGAGATGTAAACACTCCAAATTGTAGCTATTTGTTGCTAATTTTGCACTCACAAACACACACTCAGTCGCCCTGAAGTATTGAACATGATTTTAGAGGAAGGGGAAATCGGAGCACCTGGAGGAAACCTACACAGACAGGTGGTGTTGGGCTAAAACACAGCTTTTAGCCCGACACTAAGATCCACAAATGCGCTACAATGGCGGTTTTTGTCTTAACCAGGTCTGTTTAGTCGCTGTGTATTTAAAAAGGTCGCTAAAACTGCCGCCATTTCTGTTCAGTCACGGTCACATGACGCACAACACAACAGTAGTTCCAGTTGCTCTGCTTGGTGCGACCAGCAGGGGGAGCTCAAACCACTTTCTTTATTCTTTTTTTTCCAGCAGGAGGGGCCACTCAGGCAGCTCCTCATGGGCTTGGAATGAGTGAAAGTCTTTTGGCTTAGATGGGATAGGACATTAGCACATGTAATGTTATTTACAATCAATGGTTATTATTCATATGCTCCATAGTATGGCTAAATAAATACAACTAACTTATGTGAGTGAGACTGTGCGACAACAGAGAGAAATTAGCTAAAAGGCTACATTCTGGTGTGTTAGTTTCTCCTGCTGCTCATTAATACACACTTTCCAATTCAAATAAACTGCAATATAGAACCATATATGTCACTGTCTCATGCTGCTTACATGTACAAATACATGTATAAATACAACTATATATGTATATTGTTCGACAGTAGCTCAGTTGGTAGAGCATTGGCCTTTGAGCCACAGGGTTGTGGGTTCGAGCCATTGACTCCCACCGTCTGCTGTCGTTGTGTCCTTGGCAAGACACTTAACCTCTGGGAACACCAGCCACAGTGGGGCGGCTGCGGCTGTAAAGTGCCAAACTGCCGTTGTGTCCTTAGGCAAGACACTTCACCCCCATTGACTAGAATGAGTCTGGTGTGTGTGTGAATGGTTGGTGGTGGTCTGATGGCACATACTGGTTTCCTCGCTTCTGTCAGTGTGCCCCAGGGCAGCTGTGGCTACAGTAGTAGTTTATCACCACTGTGTATGAAGTGAAAGAATGACGACATGTGAAGCGTCTGTGAGTGTCCAGAAAAGTGCTATATAAAGCCAATGCATTATGTATGAACTAGAATATAAGTTGACTAGGTCTAAGTTAGAGATCTTATTTTATCTTAGTATGGACTCATCTTTCATTTATCTTCTGCTGTGTGCTCCTCATTCCTACTGTTCTGTAACTGGTGATGCAACACTGACATTTCCCCTCTGTAGGAAGAATAAAGGATCTCTTAAATACGGCCAAAGAGTCGACTTTTGTGCCTGGGTGTGTAAACTTTCAAGCACAACTGTATGGATGGTATTTACTTTACAATGAGTTAGGTGAATTTGAGGCTTAAAAATCTAAGAGCGCTTAAAGAGAGCGTCTTAAAATCTTGCATGGAGCTGGAGCGACGCTGGCTTTGTTTGGTAAAAGAAACACAAAAAATACACTTTATAGGAACTAGGATTGCGTCAAGGTTTGGAACGAAAGACAATGGCAGGAGTGCTTTTGGAGCCTTCTGGACGGTGGGTTTGGGCTTTGAGGTGGGGGTCCTGGGCACTAGGACTCTGAAGAGGTTGTGGGGGTCCATGGTTCGAGGACTCGGAGGAGGTCCAGGGGATCCATAGTACTAGGACTCGGAGGAGGTCCTGGAGCTGCCGTGTACCAGTGAGCGATAGATGGAGGAGGAGAGGAAGCGTGGGTACGAGTCCCTGTGCATCAGCGTGTAGATCTGCAGCTGTGCGTCCTCAAATGTGTGCGGCGTCGGCTCCTCGATCTTCTTGTTGATCACCTCTCGCACCCGGGCGTCCAGGCTCACCTGAGGGACACAGGGCAAGGCCAGTTTATTTTTATGGCACAGTTTAAACACAAGGACACTCACAGTGTCAACACAAGGACTTGCAGAAATATGAAACTACAAGAACTGCCAGTTTTAGTTTTAAAGAATATAATAATGTTTTTTCATCTTTAATACAGGCTAAAACTGGTGAATATAACTGAAATACAGCAACATGAAGTACTAACTGCTGCAAGTAAACAATGTGTTGCTATGGTAACCAGTATTTGCTACAAACTGAGATGGTTCTGAAACATGGGAGCTAGCTGGAACAAAGATAAAGCACTCTCATTATTGAGCTAGCGTGTTAGACTTGTCCATCATAAACATTCTATGCTTTGACCTAAATCTGCCAACATTTTCAAATACAACAGCTTATAGAGAGATACCGGAGAGAGACCAGAGAGAGCGAGAGAGACATTAAAGTCAATAGGAGCCAGAGCATGCTAAAGGAAAGCTAAAGCACTCTCTTATTGGACTTCATTGAGCTAGCATGTTCGCCTTGTCCATCTAAATACAATCTGCTTTGACCTAAATCTGCCAACACTTTAAATTATAACAGCTCGGATTTCCTGTGAAGTGAAAACAATTTATATGTGTTCCGTCCTCCAGGAAGTTTGCGAAGTTTGCCACAACATGGTCTTCGGAGGGTAGGGGAAGGCCCGAGCCAAACGAGGGCAGCTTTAGGAGCATGTGGTAAACTCCACACAGAAAGGTATTGTTGATCTCATGGCCTCGGCGCCGTGAGGAAGCCAAACACGCCTCTCAATACATGTCATTGAGTCACAGGAAGAGAGCCGTGAACGTGCCTCCGGGGAACGCACTTCCAAGAACTATCTGTGGGAACTGGGAGACGTGAGAGTCCCAGTCCAGACAGGGAGAGAGAGAGAGGGACCAGAGAGAGAGAGACCAAGGCAAAGCAAGGCGAGTTTTTTGTAAAGTGCTGAACAAAAGAAAGATAGAAACAGTCACACAAGGAATTAAAAACATAATCACAGTGCATTAAAAAGAAAGATAAAAATATAAAATCCCTCAGTTGTATGCGCAGCTAAACAGAACTGTCTTTAACCTGGTTTTAAACCATGAAGAGGCCTGTCTCACATATTCAGGGAGATTGTTCCAGATTTTAGCAGCATGAATCTTAAATGCAGCCTCTACATGTTCTGACTCTGAGCACTTGTGCACTCCGGTTCAAGGCCATGGAGAGACTTGTACACTAATAGAGCCGTTTAAAAGTCTTATCTGAGCCACAGGAAATCAGTGCAGAGACCTGAGCACTGGACAAATGTGATCAAACTTCCTGATTCTAGTCAGGACTCGAGCTGCTACGTGTTGAATATAATTCAGCTGTTTTGCAGCCCATTTGGCGAGACCTGAGAGGCCATTACAGAAGTCTAAGCTAGATTTCTAACCTGATTTGAAGGTTTTAAGGAGAGGGACTGGAGATGACAGATGATGCTTGAATAAGAGGAAATCCCTTCTTTTCTTTCTGCCCCCGATCAGTTCTTATTGTTTTATTTGGGCCCAGACCAAAATGGGTTTGGCACCGCTGGCATAGAGCCATTGGTCCATAAGGGGCCGGTGACCAAATATTGATAAAATCCATAAATGTCATTGAATGCAGAATGTCATGGATCATCACCCCTGCCTTAGACCCTCCTGCATTGACAAATAACAACTATAAAAACCCAGAGTTTGAGGGTACTTGACCTCTGACCACTGGGAACACCAGTGTCTCTAGCCCCGTTTAGATAAAGACGCTGCGAAGACTGCAAAGCATTTAACAAAAACGACCAGGCTCCTTATTCAAAGTGCAGAGCGTCTAAACGACAACGGAAAACATTGTAGTTACTAACCCCCCTCAGTGATGCTCCCCCACAGCTGACCTGTTCCACTCTGGAGGCTGTTTCTCAACGCTTGCGTTTTCACCCTCCTGAAACACCGCCTTCATGAAAACGAAAGACCAATCCGAATATCCCTTTGTCAGGATATTCCAGGACCGTGTTATTTATACCGCTCTCATCACAGTCAGATGGCATAGCTGAGCAGAGAGCACGCGCACACACACACAGGCCACGCAGAGCTCCAGTCCTGCGCCGGGCTATTAAAGGAGGCGGTGGATAAAGACGTGTGATTTTTGGCCGAGTGTCATAGCGTCTGTCAGCAGAGCCAACAGAGGACCAGGCCCAACACTGTCTCTGCTTGGATCCACTCTCTGCTCATATAATGCATTGTTTTGGCTGAAAGCAAGGCATGGCCACGTTAGATAGATAGATACTTTAATGATCCCTGTAGGAGAAATTCAGGTGTCCAGTAGCAGCAAAAATAACAAATGAAATTGATCATTCTAAAAGGCTAACAATAGTAATCAGCAACAGCCTTGCAGGTCACAGCAGCAGAGATGGAGTAGCCTCTGGGTTGGGGCAGGACGGGTCACGGCAGCAGATGTGGAGCCGCCCTTGGTTATTACTGTGTTGGGAGACCTCTGGGAACACCAGGTGGGGCATGCCAAACTGTGGTTGTGTCCTTAGGCATAACACTTCACCCACATTAGATTGAGTCTGGTGTGTGAATCATTGGTGATGGTGGGAGGTGTTTCTTCTATCAATGTGCTCCAGAGCAGCTACTGCTGTAGTTTATCACCACTGTGTTTTGAGTGAAAGAATAATGACATGTGAAGAGTCTTTGAGCGTCCAACAAAGTGCTGCATAAAAACAATGCAATACTTTCTAGACTAAAAGCCGGAGGTTTTCTTGTTGTAATGTTGCAGAGAGACGACTGTTTAACTGGTCAGAACATGATTTAATGACGAGGCGACAGCTTCACCGTTAGCATCCATGACTCATTCACTGGTAACTTCAAGTAAAAAGTGTGTTGCTATGTTATTTGTTAACTAACCAGGAGAGGCAGGAGAAACCAGGAGACACAACTCAGAACCAGAACCGGTGTAACATTAGTTTGCACTGCATTGTCAAAATACACTGCCTCAGCTGTTTATGATGTATCACGTTTCACGGCAGCCGACGCAAACCAAGATAACAGACATGAAGTCTGAAAATTGCTTTAAAAGTTTAAATACGAACAAATTAAGACACAAATGTCACTTTTAATGCAATTTAGGTCAAGATGTTGATGGTTCCATGTTGTGATATGAGAGCTTTAAGAGTCAAACTTTTGTGTAAAGTTTGGTTTAAGTAGTAAGTACTCTTGTCGAATCACAGAGTATAGAGACGGTACCTCTTTGGGCAACAGCATAGAGACAGCATAGAGACAGCATAGAGACAGCATAGAGACAGCATAGAGACAGCATAGAGACAGCATAGAGGCAGTATAGAGGCAGTATAGAGACGGTATAGAGGCCGTATAGAGACCTTATTAGAGACGATATACCTCTTTGGGCGACAGCATAGAGACAGCATAGAGACAGCATAGAGACAGCATAGAGACAGCATAGAGACAGCATAGAGGCAGCATAGAGACAGCATAGAGACAGCATAGAGACAGCATAGAGACAGCATAGAGACAGCATAGAGACAGCATAGAGGCAGCATAGAGGCAGTATAGAGGCAGTATAGAGGCAGTATAGACACGGTATAGAGGCCGTATAGAGACCTTATAGAGACGGTACCTCTTTGGGCGACGGTATAGAGACAGCATAGAGACAGCATAGAGACAGCATAGAGACAGCATAGAGGCAGCATAGAGGCAGTATAGAGGCCGTATAGAGACCTTATAGAGATGGTACCTCTTTGGGGGCAACAGTATAGAGACAGTACTTCTTTGGGCGACAGTATAGAGACGGTACCTCTTTGGGGGCAACAGTATAGAGACAGTACTTCTTTGGGCGACAGTATAGAGACGGTACCTCTTTGGGCAACAGTATAGAGACGGTACCTCTTTGGGCAACAGTATAGAGACGGTACCTCTTTGGGCAACAGTATAGAGACAGTACCTCTTTGGGCAACAGTATAGAGACAGTCCCTCTTTGGGCAACAGTATAGAGACGGTACCTCTTTGGGCAACAGTATAGAGACAGTACCTCTTTGGGCAACAGTATAGAGACGGTACCTCTTTGGGCGACAGTATAGAGACGGTACCTCTTTGGACAACAGTATAGAGACAGTATAGAGACCGTATAGAGACGGTATAGAGGCCGTATAGAGACCTTATAGAGACGGTACCTCTTTGGGCAACAGTATAGAGACAGTATAGAGACCGTATAGAGACGGTATAGAGGCCGTATAGAGACCTTATAGAGACGGTACCTCTTTGGGCAACAGTATAGAGACAGTATAGAGACCGTATAGAGACGGTATAGAGGCCGTATAGAGACCTTATAGAGACGGTACCTCTTTGGGCGACAGTATAGAGATGTAGTCCTCGTAAATGGCGCGGGCCTTCTCATCGATGGCGTTCTTGTTGATCTCCTGCTTCAGGTCTTCACAGGCGAGCCAGAAGAGCATGTTCTCCTCGCTGTACTCTGTCCTCAGAAACTCTCTGAACAAGTTCCTGCCGGCCGGGTTCCTCATCAGCTTCTCAAAGGACTGGGACCACAGCCGCATCTCCTCCTCCGATGGTTTGGTGCTGGAGCAATAGAAAATGGCAGAAATAATGCACTTTTCTGTCTGCGGTTCAAGATCTGGGATAAAGTTTAAGATGAAGAGATCCTTTTTTTGTCCCACCGCGGGGAAATGTCAGTGTTGCATTCCCAGTTACAGACCAGTAGGAATGCGGAGCACACAGCACAAGATAAATGAACAATAACTCTATACTAAAATAAAATAAAATCTCTAATTTATGAGGTAATAATTGCTTGAATCAAGTGGTTTTTATCCATCCATCCATCCATCTTCTACCCCTTAATCCATTCCTGGGTCAGGGGGGTGGCAGTCAGAGATGCCACCCAAGTCTCATAGCACCAGCCCCTCACTGACCCTCTGCAGGTGGTGAGTCCACAGGAGGACGGCTGCTCTGACTGTGAGCATAGCCTTGATCTCTCAGTGGGGGCTTTGGGCAAAGTGGGGTTAAGTGTCTTGCCCAAGGACACAACGACAGCAGTCATCAGTGGGAGTCGGTGGAGAAGATGCAGAGGTGGGTATTGAACCCACGACCTTCTGGCCTTAAGGCCAATGCTCTACCAACTGAGCTACTGTCGCCCCAAAAACTGTGGTTTTTATCATTATTTGAAAATATTCTGACTGTTTAAACACGATTTGCCAATGGGACAAAGCCATTTAGTCTTATTTCAAGAACTGCTCCTTTATTTCTTTTAAAACAAGATCATTTTGCTTTGTCCCATATCTTCTTTAAGGCAGTCAGAATGTGCTCAAATTGAGATACAATTTTCCAAATATGAGCATTTCTTTTACTTATTTTTCATCACTTTTTTGCAGTGTATAATATCTCTAACTTTAGCCTAAACCTCTGTGTAGATCATAGTATATGGGTGGACAATGCTAACCCGCTAGCTCCGCAATAGGGAAGTGCTCATGGAAAAAGTTCTGCTCCTACTCCCTCTGGCTTCTACTAACTTTCATTGAAAAGTAAACCCCTCTAGTTCAGGAAATATTTTGATACACTCACAAATATGGGCCGTGGATTAGTACTATTTCTGATCCTTGGGTGCCAAATCTCACCTTACCATAGCAATCGTTTCACAGTGTTAGCAACATGATTGCTACTGTTACAGCGTAAAGCTAATGCCACAGAAGAGAATAAATCCAGCTAGCCTATGTTGAAATGGGCTTCTTCTGCATTGAGGTCAACAGTGGTTTGTATGAGTTTTGTAAAACTCACCAAGCTTCACAGTTTGGTACGGTCTCCATCTTTGTGTCCTGCGTGATCCTCTTCCTCCGCCGCCTTTTCCTTCGCTCCTCTTCGTTCCTGAAAGTGACACTGACATGATAAAAAGGGCTTTCAGACTGAGAACCACACACTCTGAAACTACAGTGGCATCAAAACCAAAGCTAACCAACAGAACGGGTCCAACAGGTGATTGTATTTCACTAATATTTGTCCTGAAAGTTACTGCACAGCTGAGAGGAACAGACTCACTGATCTCAGGAATGAACGCAGAGATGGACTTAAATCATGTCAAGATAAGAGTTCCTTTATTTGTCCCACAGTGGGGACATTTTGATGTTGCAGCGCACATACAGGACAGTAGTAAGAGCACACAGGGAGCACACAGAATATACAAAAGACAAAATAAGTAGTATCTATGTTTCTGAACTAGTTGTAAAGGCTCTAAATGCTTCAATACCAGTCAAAAAAATAAATATATGTAGAAGTGCAGAGTTATAAACTGTACATATAGAGCAGGAGTTATATACTGTACATATAGGGCAGGATAATAAGTAGATAAAGTAAAGTGACATTGTAAGTGAGTAAGTAATCTTTATTTATATAGCGCCTTTCACAGACCAGAGTCACAAAGCGGTTTACAATTGTTATTTTTGGGCACTTGTCTCTCACTCCACACAGAGATGGGAGCGGGGTCGCCAGTACAGGAGGCACATGCCAGACCTATTGTGCATGTTTTTAGTGGTAGGGGAAACCGGAGTACCCAGAGGAAACCTATGCAGACACAGGGAGAACATGCAAACTCCACTCAGAAAGGCCTTGTTCCGACCGGGATTCGAACCCAGGACCTTCTTGCTAAAAAGCGAGAGTGCAGCCACTGTGCCGCCCAAATAGCGAACTATCTGAATGACGTCACTAAGACACGCCCCCGCCGCCTGTCAACTCCCGCCCACATGTTTCGGACAAACACTGCCGAAATGAATCAAATACCTCTTGTCACTTTAGACGAAAATGATAAACCAGGGGCAAAATTCCACCATCAAACCATCAGGGATCATAGTGTAGACCAATTAAAACGTTGGCTTGAATGTTGTGGTCTTCCAGTGACTGGTAGAAAGTTTGATTTGATAAAAAGGTAATGGTGAGGATTATGCTAACATTATCTAGTCATTTAAATTGCAATGTTAGCGCCTTCTTTGTTTATTTTGCTCTGATTAACTTCCATTTATCAAGTTGTTTTTTGTACTGTCCATTTCGTAATTAGTTTGATCATTTAGTTAACTACAGTCAGCCGATATTATAATAGATCCATGGGGTCACAACGGGCTACACCACTACTGTCTCTGAGAGAGAAACTATCGGAGCTAGCCACACTCAGTAAACGCAAACGACAATCAATCAACATATTTAAATGTTAATGCTAGAATATAATATTCATACAACACACGTGCACAGAGGTTTTCAGAATTATCTGTTAAGGTTTTCATGACAAAAATACTTTTTTAATGCGACTAAAGCGATCGCTTTTTTAAAGTAGGTGAACTAAAACCTTTGGGAACTATTTTCTTTGCACTCATTAAATAAACCTTTTGGCATGAATAGTGACAGAAGTTTATTTTGTGTGTTCAGTTGGTACAAAGCCGTATAATAAGCGGACCCCGACGCGCTTCGTCTGTGCTTATTTTCCGATAGTCACGAAGTTGAAAAAATCCCTCTCATCTTTCTTCAGGTGTGAGAATTGTATACATTCTGGATTAGGACAAACAATACTAATATGGATTGATGGGGCTAACTACATTCAGAAGAGCTCAGACGGACCTGATACAGCGGTCCAGGTCCAGTCCCAGCTAAACGTAGCTAGGACTGGATCTGGAGGCTCCACAGTTGGTCCAGCGAAGTGTTTTGAAAAAACATGTCCTTTTTAACATTTTCATGAGAGAAATTCTGCTGACCACAAGCACCCACCTCTTGCACTTGTCCTGGTCTGGTCCTGGTCTGGTCCTGGTCTGGTCCGATGTTGTGGTTTAACGAACGGGTTGAATGTTACTTTCATATAGTCCTTTTCAGAGTATCTGAAATCGCTCCCACAAGCACCATAACTGCAGTGTTTTGTTGTCACCATGATTCAATGATTTAGCCCAAATAAATACACACGCTTATGTGGAGAACACAGTAGTACTCAACGGAGTCGGACAGAGTTTGTCCGAAACATGCGCGCATGCGCAGTCATTGGAACTATTTTTAGCACATTTCGGAAACCGGACAGTGCCCTATTGTTCAGTGACATTCTGAAGTTGCAGTATTTCACATTGCACATGATTTAATTTATATCATTTTGGATGGCTACAGGAACTTAGAATCTTGATGTTTATGTATCTACTGGTCTTTAACTGTGGCTGAGTGAATAGCACTCCCGTTTCTCAGCAAGAAGGTCCTGGGTTTGAATCCCGATCAGGACAGGGTCTTTCCGAGAAGAGTTTGCATGTTCTCTTGCGAGAACATGTTCGGGTGCTCCGGTTTCCCCTACCACTAAAAACATGCTCACTGGGTACATCCTCCAGCCCCGCTAGTCCAGACCAAGCAGAGTCCCCGGGCGCTGTACTACAGCGACCACTGATCCTCTGTAAGCCTTAGCGCCATCAGGATTGGTCAAATGCAGAGGATGGATTTCCCTACAGCAATAAATAAAGTGCACCTTTACCTTCAATTCTAGCCCCTTTACCTTCAATAATATTCAAATCCATGTCCCTTGTTCCTGCCTCTAAAACTATTTGGGTTTCAATGTTTTAGAACTGATAAGATTTAAGCTGGGGTTCTTTAATTACAAATCACAACAACAGAACTATTTAATATAATAAAATGCATAAAACCAGTTCCTCGCTCTCAAAACAGTTAACCAGTTTTCATGTATTGTTTTGGCCTCTGCCACATCTTTAGATCATATATTTCAGACAGAAAAATGAAAAAGACATGAACACCCTTATGTCTTATAAGCACGCAAAAGATTAGATGTTTTAAAATAATATAAAGACAGAGTGTTGCGGTCTGCTTTTATTCCAAATTTGTACTCAACATGTACAGTTACATAAAAATAAAGTTAGGTACCTCAGCTTTCATCAGTTCAAAAGCCCAAGCAGTATCTTTAACCACTATCGAAGTACTTCCTGACAGATTCACCTGCGACAGTTGGACTCCTTTAAATTGGATTATTCTTTGCAATTATTTTAAATGTATTCCATTCTGTATTTTTAGTTAATTGTAAGGCGTCTTTGGGTGTCTTCAAAGGCAGCATGAAAATAAAATTATTATAATAATCCATTATTTAACACTGAAATTCTTAATATCATAATTTAGTGCGTTTTCTCTGATTGTAAAATGTTTACGAGCTAGCTTCTATGACTCATTCACCTTCATCTGCAGTACCCCAGAGTGCTAGAGCTACTAAAACTTGAAGAGTCAAAATAATAAGTCCATAAAGTCTCTGACAGTTGTGTTAGCCGCGTCGCTGTATAAGTCGCAGGGTTCCCCTGGTTATCGTATAGAAATTATGGTAACTTCCTTCGTACCATGAGCAGCTACAGCAGCAGCACCAGCAGAAGCAGCAGGCGTTGGGTCGTTGGGAGGTGATGGCGCGGCCCCCTGTCCCGCTCAGGGCTGAAGTCTCAGTGCGACCGCCCCCCATGACCTCGCCGCCTCGCTCGCCCGGGACCGGACCTGTGTACTGAACAGACACAAGAGAGAAAGAGAGTAAATCAACAAGTATTTACAAATAAAGCTTTATACAAGAAGGGTTTGGACTATTACATCAATTCAATTTATCTTTGTACAACCCTGATCCGCAGTCGTCTCGGAGTAGTTAACAAAGTTGTCAAAATTCAAACCATTCAAACACAGGAAACAGCTCTAAAACCAGTCTCTCCATGACCTCGCACTGTGACATGTTATTGCCATATGAACCAACTCGGACTCCTGCTGGGACTCTGAGGTAGGGGTGTCACTTTATGAAAATGTAACCTCAAAATGATCAGAGTTTTAGATATTATTGCTATACACAAGTTTAAATCATTGATAGTCCTACACAAACTAAAATAGTTTTTTTTAAAGTGAACAAATGTTCAAATACAGGTTGAAAACAGTTGTTTATCTGTGCATACAACTGAGGGTCTGTATCGTTTGAGCACTTTAAGTTGCCTTGTGTGTGTCCTGTTTGCATAGACCAGATGGATCTATAAACACAACAGGTCAGGTTTCTGACAGTAGAAAACGCAACACAAATCTGAGAAAACCTCGTCTTTTAACTCCTTCCCATGTAATCTCTCGTCTCCTCGCGGGTCTGTGTCAACACCAGAAATTTGAGCCGCTACAACACGCGGCTAAAAATGGCCGTCACATGACCGCCATGTTGACAGTAATCACACCAGGAAGTGCTTCATACGAAAAACTCCGTGAGGAGGAGGGATGGACACTGGTCTACACCAGACCTGGGCAAACGGTGGCCCTGTGACCCTCCTCAGCTGTTACTCATGTGCAACCATGTTATACCTCATTATGAAAGCATCTTTTTCTCCGTTTAACAACCACATTTATTCTGTTTACAAACAATTTACCAAAAGCATGATAATTTGTCAAAAACATCTGCAAATCAATATAACCTCAGCAAGGCAAGGAAAGTGTATTTGTATAGCACAGTTCATACACAAGGCAACAAAATGCTCAAAAACAAAGTAGAAACAGTCATAAGCCATTAAAGAGTGAGAAATCACAGTTAATTTAAAACATTTGAACATTGTCAGCAAAGAAGCCTGTGTCACATTTTCAGGAAGACTGTCCCGACTCTGGGTCCCTGTGCGCCTCAGAGTTGTGAGGTAGTGTACCATGGGTGGTCCAAGTGGCAGAAGAACAAATACAAAAGGCCAAATCTTCACAAAAAGGTGAAGATTTATTTACAGTGAGCCAAAAATCTGTCTCCAAAAACAACATGGAAAGTGAATCTCTCGAACAGGCCACACACCTGGCATATATACATGGCCTCTGTTCATTGGCTCCTCCCACTCAGCTGGAATAGAGCTCAAAACACAACGCTATGTATCTGTTAAACACAAACAATACATAACTACTGTATAGACAGCAATAAAGAATAAACACACTTATAAACGCTGCTGCTCTGCTGCCCGTCCCTTTAATCTGGTGCCGCAAGGAGCGTGTATGAAAGAAGCAGAGTTCTTCTCTTTAAACAAATGAATAAAAAGGTTTAATCTCACAATAATCTTTGGAGTTAATTAACTAAATTCTGTAAATGAAATGTATGTATGTGTGAGTGAGTGAAATAGGAACTGACAAATTTACACACAATGACACACAAACAGGCCTGGGATATGTGAGTGTAGTTGTCAGAAAATGTGTGTCTGTATGTATGAACAAAGCGTGTACACAAAGGGATAAGTGTAGTTATAAGACTCGCTCTGTCTAAAGAGTATATGGCCCAGTAGCAACTGACATAACCCAAGCAAAACCAAAAAATCTGCTAAAAACAAAATAAAAACAAACACAAGAAAGCACAGGAGCCCATGTCTCCCTCCTTCTGTTGTACGTATAAGTTAAGTAGCTTTCACAGCTACTTGGGGCTGATGGGGTCGCATCATTTTAGCAAACGATCACATACTGTAGCTCTGACCCACATTAATGTGACTATACAATATGTTTTCAAGTCTATTGTAACAAAGTAAGAAAATCAAGTTTAATTCCAGAAGCTTCTTATTTGGCAAGGAACAATGAAGAGAGGAACAGGCTGTAGAACGAGGACTGAAGCTTGAAAACCCGAAGCACAAATCAATATTCAAAGATTTCAATGACTTAAATGCAGCTCTGTCAAATGTACTTTTTAACTGTTTCAAGACACTGAGCTGTTCTGCATGTTAAATAAGGCAATTCTAAACTGGGGATTCTTCCAGGAAAAACTAAACCATCTCCTTGAATCTGAAAGTAATAAACCTGGAGAGTGGTGTGTGTTGTATAATGATTACTAAACATTATTAGCAGAGGGAGGACGGGCACCATGAGGAAGTGGCCAGTGCAAAAGAGGAAGTGAGAGAGAGACGGTCATGTGATCCAGCTTCCAGAACTCTGCTCCTCTCACACTGCAGTTTGAGAAAGACAGATCCCATCAGACGTCTGAAGTTAAGCAGGACAGGGCCTGGTTAGTACTGTGATGGGAGACCTCTGGGAACACCATGCCACGGTAGAGCGGCTGTGACTGTAAAGTGCAAAACTGTGTTGTATCCTTAGGCAAGACACTTCCCCCATAGAAAAAAAAAAGTCTGGTGTGTGTGAACGGTTGGTGGTTGGAGGGAATGGCACATACTGGTCGTCTCGCTTCTGTCAATGTGCCCCAGGGCAACTGTGGCAACAGTAGTAGTTTATCACCGCTGTGTTTGGAGGTACTGAATAATGATATGTGAAGAGACTGAGAGTTAAAAAAAAAGTGAAAAAAAAAGCACTGTAAAAACCCTGGTGCATTATTATTATTATTATTATTATTATAGAGTTGGTGGGAACAGGCCTTAAGGCTCAATATAAATATAAAGAAGTAAATTTATTTTTGAACAATATTCAAAAATCTTTTTTTCTAAACAAAAAAGTTGAACCTGTATCTCCCCTTTGTGAGCTGAAATCATAACCAGGAACAGTAGCATTTGCACAACCTCATACTAGATCAAGTTGCAGCGGATACTTTAAGGAATAAAGGAGAACATGTAAAATCCACTTTTCAAAGCTCTTGTCAAAGTTTTGGTCTTTTTCCTCGTCATAACTCACTCATTTTTCCTCAAAAGGGGAAAAAAAACTGCAGTTTTTCTTTGGCTGTGACCACTAATTATGTTGATAATTGATGAACCTAGCAGTTAATCCTTGATCAATCAAATTCAATTCAATGTATTTGTGTAACCTCAGACTTAAATGTTATACAGTACCTTGCGGAAGTATTTGGCCCCCTTGAACCTTTCAACATTTCACCACATTTCAGGCTTCAAACATAAAGATATAAAAATTAAATTTTTTGTCAAGAATCAACAACAAGTGGGACACAATTGTGAAGTGGAACGAAATGTATTGGATAATTTAAACTTTTTTAACAAATAAAAACCGAAAAGTGGGGCGTGCAATATTATTCGGCCCCCTTGCGCTAATACTTTGTAGCGCCACCTTTTGCTGCAATTACAGCTGCAAGTCGCTTGGGGTATGTCTCTATCAGTTTTGCACATCGAGAGACTGGAATTCTTGCCCATTCTTCCTTGCAAAACAGCTCGAGCTCAGTGAGGTTGGATGGAGAGCGTTTGTGAACAGCCGTCTTAAGCTCTTTCCACAGATTCTCGATTGGATTCAGGTCTGGACTTTGACTTGGCCATTCTAACAACTGGATACGTCTATTTGTGAACCATTCCATTGTAGATTTGGCTTTATGTTTTGGATCATTGTCCTGTTGGAAGATAAATCTCCGTCCCAGTCTCAGGTCTTTTGCAGACTCCAACACGTTTTCTTCCAGAATGGTCCTGTATTTGGCTCCATCCATCTTACCATCAATTTTAGCCATCTTCCCTGTCCCTGCTGAAGAAAAGCAGGCCCAAAGCATGATGCTGCCACCACCATGTTTGACAGTGGGGATGGTGTGTTCAGGGTGATGAGCTGTGTTGCTTTTACGCCAAACATATCGTTTTGCATTGTGGCCAAAAAGTTTGATTTTGGTTTCATCTGACCAGAGCACCTTCTTCCACATGTTTGGTGTGTCTCCCAGGTGGCTTGTGGCAAACTTTAAACAAGTCTTTTTATGGGTATCTTTGAGAAATGGCTTTCTTCTTGCCACTCTTCCATAAAGGCCAGATTTGTGCAGTGCACAACTGATTGTTGTCCTATGGACAGACTCTCCCACCTCAGCTGTAGTTATCTGCAGTTCATCCAGAGTGATCATGGGCCTCTTGCCTGCATCTCTGATCAGTCTTCTCCTTGTTTTAGATGAAAGTTTGGGGGGACGGCCGGGTCTTGGTAGATTTTCAGTGGTCTAATACTCCTTCCATTTCAATATAATTGCTTGCACAGTGCTCCTTGAGATGTTTAAAGCTTGGGAAATCTTTTTGTATCCAAATCCGGCTTTAAACTTCTCCACAACAGTATCTCGGACCTGCCTGGTGTGTTCCTTTGTCTTCTGCGCTTTAAACAGAACCCTGAGACTATCAAAGAGCAGGTGCATTTTTATTTATTTATTTGACAGGGACAGTTCAAAAAAACATTGTCACCCACAGGTAACCGATGTGAAGTACACAAGGCTTCTAGCCAAAGGCTAATTTGCAGCCCCCGTCCCTGGTTAGGCTTTTGGAGAAAGCGAAGAAACAAGTTTTTAAAAAAAGGGGAGAAAAGAACAACAAAAGCATTTTGTGAAAGCATTTATACGGAGACTTGATTACACACAGGTGCATTCTATTTATCATCATCAGTCATTTAGGACAACATTGGATCATTCAAAGATCCTCACTGAACTTCTGGAGTGAGTTTGCTGCACTGAAAGTAAAGGGGCCGAATAATATTGCACGCCCCACTTTTCAGTTTTTTATTTGTTAAAAAAGTTAAAATTATCCAATAAATGTTGTTCCACTTCACGATTGTGTCCCACTTGTCGATTCATGACACAAAATTAAAATTTTATATCATTATGTTTGAAGCCTGAAATGT